GAAAAGGATTCTAAGCGAGAAGATTTCATAAAGACTGCCGTGTTCGTCTAGGAGATCCAGAACATCAGTAACCAGTGCCAACAGGTCGAAGAAGAACATGACGTATGGGGTCCAACGACATCAGGTGCATATCCTTTCTGGTGGTCAGAGAGCAATTCGTGCCAGACGAGACCTAGAAGGATCGCATGACCATGTTACCACTCCTAACTCTCATCATTTGAATATCCCGGAATACAACGCCTTGTACGTCGTCAATAGAGAGAATAACCTAGAGCTTTACAATATCAAAGACTGGTTAATATACCTTATTGTGGCCGAGATGTCCGACTTGCATGAGAATCACTTGATACGCCTATACAGTCGCTTCCGTAGCTGCATCGAAGCGGAAGACGGTTTCATTAAGCTTATATATATATATATATATATATATATATAGGGTACTTCGACTTCCTGTAATGATTAGCAAGTGTGTCTCGCTAGATCAATTATAACTGAGTAGTAATTTCAAGTTTCACTGTGTGCTACATACTAGCGGCCTTGTGCAATATCTAAGCGAAGATTAGAAATTATTATACATATATTAGTTGGACGTGTACAGTTTTAAGAGAATATATATATATTCGCCTAAAACTGTACATGAATTTTCTCCTGAATATATTCGTTTTATATTATATTTTACTTCTTTATAATATATGTTATATTTTAAGGGATAACACGTGTTTGAGTAGATGACCTATTTTTAGTGTGTGTGAATCCTATTTACCAGCCTGTGCTTTCAAATTCTTAATAAAGCGAATGTTCTCTCTAGCAGTGTTCAAAACTACGCCCCACGTCTTTTTTTTTTTTACTCCACTCATCCAAATAAAATCCATCAATACCTTATATATATATATGGTATTGATGGATTTATATATATATTTATTAAAGACATTTTTATGTTTAACGTTCTTTTTATAGATACAAGTATTTAAGTAAATGCTCTGTTTATAATAAACAGTATTAAATAACATTTACCGGCCTGAATGTCCGAGAAATTTTCATAGAAAATATTCGTTCCTTGACAGGATTCGAACCTGCATCCTATACGGAACCGTCATTTACGCTGACGTGCCTTACCGATCGGCCACAAAGAAGCGTTCGGTAGACAAGGTCGAATTTACTGCTTATAAACTTCAATCTTCCATGAATCTCGTACATTCATAACTGCTCTGGCGTATCAAATGTAAACAAATGACGTCATATATTAAGAAATGGACAAAGTCCGACAATTTATTTATTAAAGACATTTTTATGTTTAACGTTCTTTTTATAGATATATAGTAAATTCGACCTTGTCTACCGAACGCTTCTTTGTGGCCGATCGGTAAGGCACGTCAGCGTAAATGACGGTTCCGTATAGGATGCAGGTTCGAATCCTGTCAAGGAACGAATATTTTCTATGAAAATTTCTCGGACATTCAGGCCGGTAAATGTTATTTAATACTGTTTATTATAAACAGAGCATTTACTTAAATACTTGTATCTATAAAAAGAACGTTAAACATAAAAATGTCTTTAATAAATAAATTGTCGGACTTTGTCCATTTCTTAATACATATATATATATAGTATTGATGGATATATATATATATATATGGTATTGATGGATTTATATATACACGGGGTGTATTAAAAATAATTTTACAAAATTTGAGGTTGGTTCCTCACACCAAAAGGACAAAAGTCTATATAAACATATCCCCCCCAAACCCTTCTTTTTCTAATTATTGAGATTAAAGAATGTTTACGGTAGATGGCGCTGTGTTGCCATGTAGACTAGGTTACATTTGTCATTCGTGTACATTTGTGGCTAGTCTGTCTTCAACGTTTAACGTGCGCGGTATTGAGTTAACTGAAAAGTGATGCGTTTAACAATGGTACGATATCGTGAACAGGTAGATATGATGTTTACATACGGCCGCGCAGATGATAATGTACACGAGGCTGCACAACTGTATCAGACTGCGTTATCGTCGCCCCGTTGCACCACAAACTATAGATCTGAATCATTTGCAACGTATGCAGGGTCTTTCGCCCTCTGCTCACTCACCACGGGAGAACTTTTACCAATGGTTTATTGCACAAACTACAGATCCGCTGTTTGTCTCTCTTAAGTCTTGTTTATGGGTGAGGTAACATTTGGAAGAGATGGAATATCAAATTTACACAACCAACATTTGTGGACGGATCGGAATCGCCATGATACAATACAGGCTAGACACCAACATCAGTTTACGATTAGGTGTGAGCTGAAATTGTAGGTGACTGTCTGGTAGGTTCATATGCTCTCCCAGCACGTCTTACAGGAATTGACTACAGGAACTTTTTTTTTTCGAACACACTTTCAGATCTGCTAAAGAATGTGACCTAGCTAATGCGAAGACGTATGTGATTCATGCATGATGGGGCTTCAGCACATTTTATTCACATTGTTCCCGATGACATCTAACATTAAAGTTGAATAATAGGGGATGATCAATTCCATGGCCTGGACGTTCCCCTGACCTCAGTGCTTTGGATTTTTATCTATGGGGCTGCCTAAAACAATTTGTTTATGCAGTAGACATTAATAATGCAAAGACGCTTCATCAACGTGTCATGGTGGTGGTGGTGGTTGTGGGAGAGGCCAGTGCAACCTTTTGACAGCGTGTGGGAGTATTTGAAAAGTTCCGCCAATCAATGATCCCACGGGTTCATGCGTGGGTAGAAACAAGCCGGGGACATTTTGAACATTTGTTATGAGTTGCTGTCTTGCGGTACAGCGATGGACATCTTTTTATTTGGACATTTTATCTTGTTTTGATGCCAGGAACCCGCCCCCCAAAGATTGTAAAAAGTATTTTTGGATTGTATCTTGAATTGTACATTTAACAGCGTCTACTGTAAACTTTAAACTTAATAACACAAAAACGAATGATTTGCAGACATATGTTTATGTAGACTTTTGAACCCGTCCCCAAAGTGTCTAAAATTATTTTTGATATGCCATCAATATACTCGTAACCTGAGACGGTTTTATGTTTTAAAAGTACTTAAAAATATTAATATCAGTTATTAAATTTCAGTAATTCTTTTTAAAATATGTAGTTAATATAACGATTGTCAACATGACTTCATTTCTCCTCCAGCTATGGGTTAAATAATAGGATAAACTTGGCTCCCTAGTCTTAGATGACAGCCAATCAAGAACAACTCCGACTACAAAAGATGGAAACGGGAAATACTCCACTTCCCAGTAAATCCTAGTAATTCACCCTCATCTAGGTACTGAGCAAGCTCGGCGTTGCTTAACTTTGGTGATCGTACGAGAACTAGTCTTTCAACGTGATATGGCCATAAGACCTGGGGAGTCATGCTCTTCTTTAAAAGAAGAAGACAGTTAAAATACATATTTTTAAATAAAGGACCGATTTTAAATGTGAAGTTCAAGCGTCTAATGATTTTTTTTTTCTTTCAGATTTTACGGACATTTGGGCGATATTATTTTTCACACATAATTGTCATGACTTAAATAATAGAAAAATAATAAATAAATTTTCACCAATAACACTGATTTATTTACTGCTGACTTTGATCCGTCTTAATGAAACACCCTTATATATAATCCGTCTTAATGAAACATCCTTTATCAATTTATGCATACATTATGTGTGCTTTTCTGTTCAGTTTTTCTTCTTTTTTTTCGTACCTATCATTTTGTTCCGTCATAATACACGAAAATGACACGGAAGTGTAATGAACTCTTCTGGTGACATAGAAATATTACTTGTTGGTACAATAAATATTGCGTTAAATGAATTCTTAAGTTGTGATTGGCTCTCTTAATAAATAATCTTTTATAGTAAGATATAATTAAATATATGTATATATTCAAAAATTAGTTTTATTTATAATAGTTTTCTTCATTTATAGAAAGGTAACAGCATAGAGAAATGGTTCCCAAAAAATTTCTCTCTGGGCCGCTTTTTCGGAATTAAAATTTGCTTGTGCCTCACCAAATTTTATGTGATAAAAAGTACATTTAAAAATAAAAAAGAGATGGTCAAAGAGAGATAACCGCGGAACGAAGTCAGAACATTATCATTGAAAACTCTCTCCTCCAATTTACTGACCTTAGTTACTATATGCTTGATATTTGATATAATGCAAAAATATCACAGTGATAAAATCGGTCAGTAATTAAAGATTTATTCATACTGGGATTCATGCATGCAATTACAAGTAGTCTATAATAATATTTCAAATTTTGAAATTCTATTTATTTTTGGCATATGATTTTTTAAACTTTTTCTAAGTCATTGTTTGTCTGTCAGTCATTTCGCCTCACCTGCTATCCGCTTCCGCCACACCTATGAGAGTATGCTACACCGTTTGAGGACCACTAGCATAGAGAATCAATGACTAGTGGAGTTGGAAGAGAAGTTCCGAGCAAAGCATTCTGTTTTATCAGCATTAAAATTAAGGGTTAATTAACAAAATTTCGAGTAAATATTAAGTACTTTGCACTTAAAATATCGTGAAAAATACATTTGAATGCAGCAAGGTATGTTACACGTATCAACAAGTTTATAGGCCAAACATTATTAGTCTTCACCTCCGAACTCCATTAAAAAAAACTCTCTTAAATTTAATTAAATACGGAGGACAAAAACTACCAAAACACAGTAACAGGTTTATATTTTTAAATATTTATATTTTAGCTTTATATAGCCGACAAATTGGGATCAGTTGCAACCAACTTTAGATATTCAATGGCATCCAAGTAAATTTTTCTTTAGATATTCAATGACATCTATTTTTTTTATTTTGCTCTTAAAATTATTATGAATATAAGTAGGAAATTTATTAAAGAAAAGTTTAATGAGTTAAAAGCGATTAAAAAATAGATCGGGACGAGAACTTTTCAACAGCTTCTCGCATTAACTGAATGTTATATTTTTATTTTTTTTTTTTTTTTTCAGAATCACCATTGCGCACAAGAAGTCTTTTAACACTCTCCCTTATCTTCACACACTGTTGATGAATAATAACGAATTGACTTCTCTTGCTATCGGTCAGTTTCGATCCCAGAAGGTGCTCACTCACCTGGATTTAAGTCACAACCGTCTCCTCACTTTGGTCAAGGGCATTTTTGCTGGACTGGCCAATCTGGAGAAAGTCAATTTAGCTGATAACCGCATAACACGCATTGGTTTATCCACTTTCCAGGACACCCCGAAGTTGATTCGCTTTGAACTACGCGGAAACGATCTACGATCCTTTAACTTTGATGTCCTTGCTCCTATGCGCCGTCTACACTACGTCGATCTGGCGGACAATCAGATAAGTTCCTTAAAAGAGACACAACGCAAAGATATCTTCATTGTTTATCTCTCGCTGGCTGGTAATAATTTAAAAGGCCTTGAGAAGAACGTAATGAGAGTTCTCGTTCCCGGGGCTTCAGTCATACTCTCAAATAATCCACTAATGTGTGACTGTAAACTCCGCTGGGCTAGAGAATACGCTGGAGGGAAACAATTGCGACTTGGTGACCCCGATCTCATCCGCTGCAAAGAACCACTCAATCTGACCGGATTAAAGGTACGTTGTTTTTTTCTATTAATGTTCTTTTGTGAAAAGTAGCTGTAGAGCTTTTCTATGCTGCCCCACCTTTTATCAAAGCATATTCTTCTGCTCTTTCTAGGTGCCGTCTCCCTTTAGGACGTTGGAAAACATTGATTTCCATAACTTCCTGTCCTTTATAGGTCTTAATAAATTGTCTTTTTAATTATCTCTTCTAAATCTTGTTCCGCCATTAATTTACTGAAGTTCGGTACGTGGGTTATGCGTTGTTTTCCACTGTCCATCTTGTCGTCAATCTGTCATGTCAGGTGCAAAATCTTACGAATGTGCGTTTATAATTAAAGCCTTTTTACGTATAGCGATTTTCCAAGCATAGCTTAGATGTGGTGCAAGACCGAAAGTATGGGGCACCCAGTGAGAATCGAACTCGCTATTCAGTCGTAATTGTTATGGCGAGAAAATCTTGCTAACCATTACACCACATCGGGGTGCCCTTAGCCTTTTTACGTATATGACATATCGATGTATGCAAAATCGTCGTGGAGTTGTAGAGCAACCGAACGTCATTTTTTTGAAAGAATATATCGATAAACCTAAAAAAAAAATAACAAGTAGGGCAGGAGGCTTCATGAGTTATATACGTATATATTTCTGTTGAATTATTCGTTCTCTGCGGTTTATCAACCAATTGCAGGTTATTTAAAGCCAGAAAACAATTTTTAGGTTGTAAGTTTTTTTTTGTTTTTTTTTTTAATAATGGTTTAATGATACAAATCTTACTAACTAACCAATAGCTGGGAGGGAAAATGGATTCGTAACTTACCCAAATTTATTTGCGTATAAGTGAATATAATGAACGAAATGTGAATTGGAACTTAGCTCTCTGATTAACAATTCCGAGTCATTATGCATTACACCACCCGCACATCTAAGCTTACAACACATGGCATTCCCAAGCGGTTACCCATCTAGGTACTGACCAAGATCGAAGTTGCTTAACTTTGGTGATCGTACTGAAACCCGTGTCTTAACGTGTTGTGGCTGTAAGCCTTATATATTTCTATGGATCCTAGTAAAATATGTATATTTAAAAAAAAATGCCCATGCAATTAGCATATGTGTAATTCCAGCTCCATGATTTCCAGTCAACTTTAATCTGCAAAAATTTGAATGAAATGTCAATCGCTATCTGATGTCCTCCTTATTACACTTTTCTCTGACGCTTATTATGAATGCTTCTTCCTAATTCTTCCACACCCAGTAATCCCTTGTGTCTGTCCTAAACATTGTTCCGCCATCCATTTACTTAAGCTCTCTAGGTAGGTTATGCGTTGTTTTCCTCTGCCCGTTCGGCCTTCAATCTGTCCTGTGAGTATCAAATTTTCCAAGCCCTCTTTCCGCATTATGTGCCCAAGAAATTTCAATTATCTCTTCCTGACGTTAAGTATAAGTTTCCTTTTTGTTTCCATTTTCTCTAAAATTTCATCGTTGCTCACGTGCTCGCTCCTTGGTATTCTCAGAATATTTCTGTAGAAATACATTTCTGTTGTTTCAAGTTTCTTCTTCATCTCTGAGGAGATTGTCCAGCATACACTGCCATATAGGACGACTGATATTACCTAACAGTTCAATATTCATTTCTTTGTTTCTAACAAGTTTTTTTTTCTTAATACTTTTCTTAATGCTAGCTTTTAGGGGTCATTTTAGACTATCCCAAATGTACTTTCGTACTTCAATGTCATATTTTCCGTTCATTTTTAAAACACTTCCTAGATATTTAAATTTTTGTTCTTATTTGATTTTGGTATCTCCAATTTGTAAAGCAAATAAACAAACATACACTTTCCGATATGTAATATGACCTTGACCTTATGTAGTGCTTTTGTGCATCAAATTTGACCAAACTCAATCTTTTTATTTTATTTTTATTTGCACCCTCTCTATCGCTAACTCTTTTCCCTTCCTTCTCTTTCTTTGTTCTTTTTTCTCTTTCATATATAAAACTTATTTTTTCTTTTCTTTTTCAATTTTATTTTTGCCATTTTTTTAAATCTTTCGCCGCCACATTCAACAAGTGAATTGTTCCTCCTGTGTGTGCTTTTGGGCATGATCTCTCTCGCCTACTTTGTACTTGTTTCAACATTCGCTCAAAGTCGTTTGAGTCCAATAACATTTCTGACTGCATAATTTCACAGTTAGTTTGTTTTTTTTTTATGATGAGGCCTCCAATTCGATCAAGAGAAAGATAATCGAATCGAGAATTATTCTTCAAGATTGCTTGCCAATCAATGCTAGAGAACGCGTTCTTCCCTGCTTTATCATTTTGCGTGGATGTATGTAATGTATATGCGTGAGTGATTTACATGTGCTTGTGCCATTTATTGTACATACAAGCACACGCACATACACACACAATTTGATTGAGTGTGAAATAAAATATTTGAATAATACATTCCTCTCCCACACAACCCTTACCCTGGGCTGAGCAATAAAATCATAATGTTGGAAAGAAAAGAGAAAAAAAAATCGTCAGTTTTTTTAAACTCTAAAAAAAATTAAATAATTATAAGATTTTATTGAACTTTTCGGAAATTATTCAGTAATAATTTTTTTTTTTTCGTAGAAATATTTTTAAAGGTATCATTGAATTAAAATCTGCACGCGTTCATGCAAAAATGCAAACAGTTTGAATGAAAGAGAAATGTGCAGCAGTGTCGTGAGGACTAGTTTCCTTTACTGTCTAGGAACAAACCCTGGTAAATAGGAAAAATTTATTAACAACAGAAATAATCTCAGTCAAAGAATCTCAAATACAAATTCATAATTTCTTCTATTTTTTTTTTTCTCAGATGTTGTCGCTCAGCCATGCTGAATTCCGATGTCTGCCGACGCCTTACCATTCTATTGAATCAAGTCGAAATAATTACAGGAAGGAAAATACTGATTCTTCAAAGACTGTTCAGTGTACATCACCGGCAAAGGAACAGAAATTTAACAGCCGACAACTCAGGTTTGTAACTTAACGTATTTTGACAAGACAAAATAACAATCTTAACCACCCTTTCTTTTTATTACCTGTGGATGAACTTCTTAACCATTGTTATGATGTTAATTTGGGGTAAATAAAGACAAACGCCAAATAACATGTAACAATAAAATGGGGTTTATTCGGTTGGTAAGTTGGTACAGATATCGCCTGAGTAGTCTATAACTAACTCAGCCCAAGAACTTCTCGGTATTTATCATTTCACCCACGGAAACGAATATGGCACAAGGCCGGTTTTTATTGTGGGTTTCTCCGAGCCTGTAGGCTCGGCCAAAAAAATAGCCTTTTTGAAGCCCTGTCTACCTCCCGGACGAAACCTTGCCCTTCGGCAAAGCCTCGTCGGGTTCCTCTCTTAACGCAGAGAGTTTCGACAAACGTCGGAAGTCAGCCCAAGGACTTCTCCGACACTGTCTTTTGACATGCCACTCTTTTACGTCCTTGTTTGTAGACGAGTTCATCTTCAAGAGGGGTGGTAGGTTCCTACACAACAACCATGCATATACTTTAAAATATAAACAAATACAGTACCTACCTCTCCTGACGGTTTCTTATTTCATTTACTGTAATCTTCAAATTGGCGAAGTATTTTACATTACTTAAAGCTTGAAATACTTTTCCCAGTCAATTATTTGACAACCATTTTAAATGTTTAATAAATTAATTTGACTAATTTTTACCAGTTCCATGAAGTGTCAGACACAACCTTATAAAAAGTGTATAGTTTGTTAGTATATTTTTATGGATTTTCAGAACTTAAAAAGATGACAAGTTTTTTTGTTTTTTTCCTTTGGGAATTCAGGGATTACAAAATTGGTTGAAGCATTAAAATGCCATACTATTCAAATTCATATCAGTGAATTACAAATATTTACAGTGAATTTGATATTTACAGATTTTGTTTTGCAAATTTTGTAATAATAGATATTTTATAAAATCGTTTAAACATTAAATTTTACATGAACTTTGATTAAAATTGTCGGCTAAAATTGCCCGAATTAAATCAAGGAGTGTATCGCGCGCGCGCGCGCACACACACGCACACGCACACACACACATACATATATATATATATATATATATATATATATATGGTATAAATTTCAGATGTTATTATAGATCGAGTACTGTATCATTACCGCCATCATTCACTGTGGGCTGTTAATACAGTGTAACCCGGATATAAGAGAGTTGTCGGGACCGGAGAAGAAGTCTCTTATATCCGGGTTTCTCTTATATCCGGGTTTGGTCTATTTTATATACATTAACACAGGCTCTAATTTGGGACCAGAGTAAATCTCTCTTATATCCGGGTTTCTCTTATATCCGGATCTCTTATATCCGGGTTACACTGTAAATCACAAAATTTCATTTTCAATTTTTTTACTAAAACTTCTAAGTCTTATATACAGAAAAAATCTATAGGTCTCATTAGAAAAATAATTAAAAACAAATTATTATTATTATTATTATTATTATTTCTGTTGTACACACATTTCCTTCTGGGTTCCAACCAGAGATCTAAGATCAGAAATAGCCATTACATTTTCCACTGATCATTTTTGTAAAAAGAAAAGGTCACACACATTTTACATAGATAAAGCTATTCGTAATGTGTGATCTGTATTAGTGAGTATAATGTTTTGTATTTCTTTAAGACATGGACTACTACTACTACTACTACTGTTATCATTATCATCATCATCATCTTTCTCAACTACTATTTGTTCTGTACAAACCCTCGGTAAGGCATGCTAATAAATGTATTCATTCTGTAAGAAAGAAAAATGGGAAAAAATATTGAATCTGTATTTTAAACCAAAACAAAATATTTTTACAGTAGGATAAGAGATCTAAAATTTTTTTTTTTTTTTTTAGAGGATCAGGTTAAAAATAAGCAAAAACAGAGAATCAGGAATGATCTTTAAAATTTCACATCCAATTTACTCTCCGCCCCATCTACCATCTTCCTAAGTTTTTATTTTGTGACGCCATGCTTGTGGACTGGATTTTGCATACAACTAGTTGAAACGATTTCTCGCTTCTGGTTTTCTCCTTTGGTCTAGTCAAATAAAAATCTAGAAAACTTTCTTCAAGAATAAATGATATCTAAATCATATGGCCATCTTATATACACCTCTATATACACACCCATACGCAAACATAACGCATAGTTTATTTGGCACACACACACACACACACACACACACACACACACACACACACACATATATATATATATATATATATATATATATATATATATATATATATATATGTCTGTACATGCTTATATATGTTTGTATACAAATATACACATAGAGAAAGAAGATAATTTATTTTTACACTTAAGTAAATACAACCAAATATTGTTCGTTGGGTGTGCTTTGATGGGCACGTCCATCGGGATATTTTTTCCGGCACCAGCTGTCTGACTAGGTCAGGTTTCAAATGACCCATATTCACTGTAACGCCTCTCCCGGGATACTGGGGCCCATCTAACATTTTCGGACCCCAAATTGGCGTACTTGACAAAATATAAAAACATTGTTTGTTGAGATTACACTCTCTCATTTGTTTGTTTGTTTTATTTTGTTTCGTTTTTTTTTTTTTTTTTTTTAATAAAGTAGCCACGAAAGAACATAGGTTGTGGATAACGAGCAACAGGTTTGTTAAGTGGGCGAAACAATAACGACCCTCACTATGTTTGAAGGTCGAGTTCGAACTGGAATTTCCAAGAAAAAACTGATTTTAGTAAATGTATCTTGGTCTATACTCTTAACAATTAATGCAATTGAATACTTGTAAAATCTTCTCTGCCAATGCCATATCCCAGCTTCAATATATATTACACGCATATGTGATTAGAATCACTTTGGGTTCTTCATCTATATCTTATGGTCACGGAAAATATTAGTGCCGTTAAGTGTTTTCCGAATGACAAAAACATTAATAATCACCTAAAAAATGTGGCACATGAGGACATGTATAATTGATTGGAAAATGCCAGATAGACTCGTTGAAGGGATTCCTGGTAGCCCATGCCTTAAAGAAATACAAAAATTTCACTCACAAGTACACCTCACACATTACAAAGATCTTTATCCATGTAAAATGTGTGTGTTCTTAGTTTGTGTGTGTGTGTGTGTTTTTTTTTTGTTTTTACAAAAAAATGATCATTGAAAAATGTCATGAAGCCATTTCTGACCTTAGGTTTCTGGTTGGGACCCGGAAGGAAATGTTTATACAACAGAAACCCAAGGAAATAATAATAGTAATAGAAACAGTAGCAGTACTAGTAGTAGTATTAGTAGAAGTAGTAGTATTGTAGTAGTAATAATAACAGACGCAGACAGAACAGTCAAAGCTAATCTCCCAGACATAGTGGTCAAAACCCCAATAACTCTCAAAATACAGGTGAAAATCTAAAAAAAAAAAATGTGGCACGTGAAGACATCAATAATTCCAGTTATGGCTGGGGCACTGCATTTGATTGGTAAATCTTCTGATAGACTTATTGAAGAAGTCCCTGGTAGCCCATGCCGTAAAGTCTACATGTGTGACTTTTGCTACTCCTTTGCTTTTATTTATCTATTGTTGGTTCTTATATCATTGTTTTAGCCGCTGTTAAGAGCTCATCTGTTTCTGTGTCCTCAACGTAGCCATGTCTATATCTGTGTTTCTGCCATTTCATCGATTTATTTTTTAAATGCTCATACATTTTTTATTTAATTTTTATGTTTCCTGTTGTTCATTCTTCTCTTCATTGTTTTTAGATGTTGCTGCTGTTTTTATTATTATTGATTGATTAAATAAAGTGACGCTGGGGCACAAATATACGAATCTCGAAGTGTATATCAAGTACATTCATCATAGCAATCTTTGTGCGATATATTTTCGGAGGTTTTGATAGAAAGCAGCGCATAATCTTGCGAATGGATTCGGTTAGAAGACAGTCCGCGATCGAGGCTATTGCAAAGTATCTAGATGTGACATTTGGGCTGCCTTGGCTCACTTATTCTTCAAATTTAAAAATAAAACATTTCGACACCTGAACATGATACTCGACCCACTACTCCCGCTCATGAACAGAGATACACCTTATGTCAGTCCCTAAGAGACATGACCAGCTGGTTAGGGTCAGGCAAATGACAAGCAAATCCGTGGTACTGAAAGTGATATTTATTGTAGCCATTCTTAATTATGCGAAACAAAACACGTAGATGTTAACAACGCTAAGGTCAGAAGCTATGAAAACCATTCCCAGTGTATCATCAGGACTTTTATTATTATTATATAATTTCGTTTGATTTCTGGTGTATACTCATTTCTTTCCGGGTTGCGACCAGAGACCTAAGGTCAGAAATGGTATCATGAGATTTTCCACTGAGCAGTTTTGAAAGAAAAAATCACGCATATTTTACAAAAAATAAAGCCCTTCGTGAGACGTGGGCTGTACTTGTGAGAACAATTTTTTGTATTTTTTAAGGCATAGGCTACCAGGAATCCCTTCAATGATTCTATTGGAATCTTTTCCAGGCAATCCGAGGGCTCCAACTACAACTAGAATTGTTGATATCCTCATGTGCCACATTAAGAAAGCATTATTATTATTATTATTAAAATGACAATTTGGGCAGAATTGTGTGATCCTATTGAATTTCAAAGTTCCAAAGCCTGTTGTTATCATTGTTATTTATTCGTTCACATGTGAACACCGTCTGTTTGGTTGCGGTAATTTTTACTATTTCATAAGTTGCATATTCATAACCGGTGCTTCGTTTTCTATGGCAACAAGTCTCTTCAAAACTTCAGCACCTTTTTCAGTATTATTTTTGTCTCCGTCACTGCCGGGTTTTTTTTTTAAGAGTCTCTAACCTTTCTTAAATAAATGATTTCTCTAGTCTTGTTTCCAGTGATTTCTAACTGATCCAACAGAACCACATTAACCATCAAGTTCCGCAGCATCCCCAAATCGAGGTTTTGTTATTTCTTTCTATTTTACCAGTTTTATTTGTATTGTTAATTTAATAAAATTTAACATTTTAATTTTCATTGATTTTTTTTTTCTCCTCCTTTTCAGGAAGGACAAGCAAGAACTTTACCGATTCCATGCCACCATTATCGATTCTTTTGGTCAAGTGGTGTGCAATGGTCATTTGATTACTTCAGAATGGGTACTGACAACGGCAACATGTATCCAATCGCTGATGACAACATCAAGTGATAATACAGGTACATTCCCAGTGCGGACGCAAGTCCGAATCGGTCAAGGTCAGACAGAAAAAATAGATGAAGTCGTTGTCCAGCCAAATGATGGACAACTGGCTCTGCTGAAGCTAAGCGGCAGTGGCAACTCTGCAGCTAAAGGTGGCCGAAGGGATACAACGTTAGAGGCATGCATTATGGGAGAGAAAGAGTTCCCAGATTCTGAGCATTCAGTCCGGAGAGGAGCATTCACAGCCAGAATAGATGGATATAAATCTAAATCGAAGTTACGGTCGATTAGCGGTAAATACAGCCCAGCTCTCTGTGCCCGGCGCCAACACAAATTATGTGTACGAATGCGTCAACGGAAAAGACCAAATAAAGAGTTATTCACGTTGGGCTCACCATTTTACTTGGGGAGCTCCCGGAACTGGAGATTGGCGGGAATTGGTTCGGGTTTTATGTCTACTTCGAACATTGATGGACCGGATAATTCGGAACCATCACTAAACATAGTTGAATTTTATCCCTTATGGGCTTCCGTTAATTGGATTGATCGGACAGTATTTGGTTGA